CAGTTGTAGGTCACCGTCACCTCCAGAGTGTCCCGAAAGCCGGCAGGCTTGATGGTAAAAGCGTGGGAGGTGCGGTCAGCGGGGCAGCTCCGCGCCTCCACGGCCACCTCGAAGGAAACCTGGCGGGTTGAGATGTTAAGTTAACCAAAATGGGCATGAAGGGCATGGCAGGAAGGGAGGCAGGAGGGAAGGGAAAATGGTAAATGTCCCGAGGAAAAGCCAGGGAGCAATTCCCCGGAGTGGGGCCACACTCAGCGCGTTGAACTTCACTCCCATGTGTGCAAAAAAAAGCCCCAAACAATTGCACACTAAGTGAGGGCATCCACAGCTCCAACCAGCAACATCTGCCAGTTCCATGAGGGCATTGGCATCCTTAACATTTTAAAACTCTTTACTGTCAGACATTAGCAGTAGTTTTCCCCATCAGGGACCATCGGTTTCTGTGAAGCAGGAAGGAATTTGCCTATTTTCATGAAGTAAACAGTGCAAATCTCTAGCGAATATTCTGGTTTTCACGCTATTAAAAATAATAAACTCTGTTGAAACCAAGAACCATCAAGGATCTATCCAAGGCAGCACAAGGGCTGAGGTGCCTACAAGAACACAGATTTAGAAGGTTTTATGGGAATCCTGATCTGCACACAGAGAGGTGCATCAGTCACACAGACCCAAGCTCTCAGCATGCAGCTAACTGGCCAGTTTGGATGGATGCTTCCATTAAGACCGGCTTCAGAAGGGTTATACATCATTATGTGGTTACACACCACTCCCCTACTCATTTTCTGTTGCTACAATCCAGTGTCAGGGAATTTTATCCTTGGGAAAACCAAGACACTCTCATGGTCACTTGCTTGGCCCTCAATTTAATCCTGATGTTTAGTGGGGGTCTTGGGCTGGCCAGCGCTGCCTAGAGCTGCTAGTTAGTTAAGAAGATTAACCTTATTCCAAAGAAACGAGCTCCCTTCCTAGGCATTGGGAGAGAATGATTTTTCTCTGGAGACATTTGAGATCACCTCAAGCCATGCTGTGCCACCCCTCATGCCAAGAGGTGATGTGGTGCAGATGGTGGCACAGCAGCCTGCCCCAGCCAGGAGAGCAGCACCCCCAGGAAACCTCCTTTAACTCCCCCTCCCATTCCCAAGGTCTGAAGCAATTAGGCAATGAGCTCAAATTACAGAGGAGAAGGAGATCAGAAAGCAAGCTAAGGGGATCAGGGTAATCCCGCTCCCTTTCACCCCCTGACACCCACGGCTCTGGGACTAAATCCTGGCAGATTAGGACTCAGTGCCAACGTTATCCTCTTTCAGGAAACTTTCTTAGGAGTCAAATCTTGATCCACGTGGAAGCAATGCGTCAGAGAGCAGCTCAACAAGAGGGGATGGAGGGACAAGATCCCCATGATCCTGTGGCACATTTGCCTGTGCAGGCACCTCAATACTCGAGTGCACCTAAAACTGGAGAGGTACCAGCACTGACTCCCTGCTGCATCCCTGCCAAGCCCCTTCACAGCATGACCTGCAGCAGCTGGAGCAAGTCACCTGCTCATGCCAAAGCCGAGAGGCCAGAATCAACCACCAAATTAACTCTGCTACCTCGGGGGCTCAGGCTTGGCTGTGGGAACAAGGAGGGCACATCCTAGTGTGGCAACTCGGCTGCAGGGATTGCTGTTACCCGCCCATCAGAGATCCAGTCAAGTCAGCTAAAACAGCAGAGGCCACCTCCCTCTTTAACACTTCGCTTGAGCCTTATTTGGTGAGGTAAAAATCCAGCTACTGTTGACTCTTCCAGACTATTTTTATGTGCCTCAGTGCTTAGACCTCTGGTATGTTTGCAAAGTCACTCTTCTCAAATAAGGCAATCAGGCTGCTAATGAACCCGCACCTGCGTTCTGGGAGATGGCAAAAGCCAGAAGGGGAGGGAGTTCCCCGCTGGCCTGAGCCCTCTCACCCCAGCCCTGTTGTCCAGCAACTTGTATATCTGCATCAATATTCAATTTAAACAAGCAAATCTTAGCTGCTCTGAATTTTTTGAATCGAAAAGCACAGGATGGATTATGCTGCATATACTGTTAAGATCAAGGGGCAAACTATATTTTTAGTCTGTGCTTCCACCCAATAATCATAGGAACTGCACACATGACAGGAGGGTTGCTGCCTCTATGAGTGTCTCTTCATTCCAGGAAAGACAAGTTTAGATTAGAATCACAGAATCATTTAGGTTGGAAAAGACCCTTAAGCTTGTGGAATTAACCTAGCAACATCAGGTCCCCCACTAAACCATGTCCCTAAGCACATCTACACGTCTTCTGAATATCTCCAGTGACAGTGACTCCACCACCTGCCTGGGCAGGCTGTTCCAATGCCTGACAACCCTCCCAGTAAAGAAATTCTTCCTAATATCCAACGTGAACCTTCCCTGGCACAACATAAGGCCATTTCCCCTTGTCCTATCACTCATCACCAGGGAGAACAGACTAGCCCCTGTCTCACTACAACCTCCTTTCAGGTAGCTGTAGAGAGCAATAAGGCCTTTCCCGAGCCTCTTTTTCTCCAGCCTAAACAACCCCAGTTCCCTCAGCTGCTCCTCATAAGGCTTGTTCTCAAGACCTTTCACCAGCTTCATTGCCCTCAGTGTCTTTCTTGTAGTGAGGGGCCCAAAACTGAACACAGGATTCAAGGTGCAGCCTCATCAGTACCAAATACAGGGAGAAAATCACTGCCCTAGTCCTGTTGGCCACACTATTTCTGATACCGGCCAGGATTCTCAATCAATGACAAGAAAACCTTTAATATTAGCAGACCAGGAAAAGGCCAGCAGACCACGACAATAACAATTTCACAAGTGAAAGTGTGACGTGATTACAGGAAAAAATAATCTCATTCCTGACTACTGCATCCTGCTGCTTGATCAAGAGGTTTTTGGCTCAGGGTGCTCTACACAAGACGCCTGTATTCCCCCTTTCCTCACAACTGATCTGGGCTGATCTATAGCACCCAGAGCCACTTCTAGCAGAGCAACTCTCCATCGCCTTTTATATTAATGTGGCATGGCATGAGGAGACCAGAGGAACATGAGCAAAGCTGTATTTTATCACCCATGGCCATTCATCAAGAGAGGTGGGTGAAATAGCTTCTCCAGAGGACAGACTGAAAAGCAGACTCACCGTATCTCCTATTTTGAGATCCCCGCACTTCCTGAGCCCAGGATAGGACAACCCATCCTGGCACGTGGCAGTGAAGGTCAAGCCAACGTCCTCAGGGCTGTCCCAGACCGTGAGCTCCACCTTGGACCGAATACTCTAGAAACACAACGGGAAAACAAACTGTCAGGTTCCCAAAGCTGCTCCCAAAGGGCTTCTTCTGCTTTAGTCTCTTCTCTTCATGGTTCCAGAGGCTGACTAGGACATCTCAACACGTATGTGAAAAAAAATCATCTCCACACACACACTGACATTTGGGTTTGACTAAACCAGTTCAGGAGATTTCTGAAGAATGCAACTAGACTCATGGGGAGTTGCCTACAAAGCCTGCGGGTGGCTTATGCCCTCTAGGACAGCTGTGATAACCGCTGTAGTCATCATTGAAAAGACATGGATGAACAAGAAAAAGAAAGAAGAAAACATTTTTGACCACAAATGGAGCATCTCTGAGCTGAAGGTCAGAGCCTCTTGTGAAGCACAAAGCCTGATTCTCCACTGGCAGTCATCCTGTGACATCCTTTGTACACCGAGAAGGTGTATAACTGCACTAACTCTGTCCTGCTTTCTTGATTTCACCCAGTTGGTCAGAAAAATGCATTTTTTCCCTCTTAGGAGAAAATGCCAGACAAAAAGTATCCTTTCGGATGTGTCAGCTGGAAAAGCCACCACAGGAAGAAATAAATGAAAAATCTATCTTTGAGAAACTTTTCAGAGCGAAACACATTTTCCATCAGCAAGATTTTGGTATGCTCCTACCTGCTTTCCTCTGCTTCTCATCTCTCTGCTTTGCTGCACACACAGACTTTTTAAGTCAAAACAAAACAAAGTTTATAAGTATTAAGTTGGAATGAGGTTGTTTTGTTTAATTCTTCCAATGGTTGGAACTGATTTTTTTAAGAGTTGTGGCCAAAAACGACAAAGGTTTTCAAAATGGAGCTTTTTTCAAAAATACATTTCTTTTCCAAAGCCAGCTTGCAGCTCCATCCCTCTTACCCTTGTCCGCAACCCTCACCAAAATGGCCAAATTAAGGAAACGTGCTAATTCAGACCTCTTGTCAGTCCGTGTGAGAATACCACCAGTGTTCACACACCAGCAAAGAGCTAATATTTTTGGAAATGGGCAGAAAATAAATGCGTTTTGGCTGTGTGAATCTAAACAGCCTTTAAGGAAAGAAATTAATATTTTTCCACCTCTCTGCTGCAATGCAGGAGCCATTCACAGGGCAGCACTTTGGACCATATGGAGCATCCATTGCCTATGGGCTGAACACCTTTGTGTGTTGGTGAAGCTGAACATCCTGCTCTGCCCAAAATTACCCTGTAGGAATTAGCTGTTTTACCAATAATGCCCTCTCATCTTCCTCCCCAGAGCATCTCATCCGGGGCACAGCAGAAGACAAGACACCAGGCCAGCCCTTGGTATAACTTTGCATGGGCCCTTCCGATGTCCTTATACAGATGTCAAGGTTCCTTATCAGCCCTTACTTAATTGTAAGACACTGAAGGAAGCAGTCCCCCATGGGCAAGAGCACTCCAGGCAGAAGAAAAAGCGAGATGGGGGAAAGGGATCTCAGAGGTAACGTAAACCCTGAGCAAGTCTGATGTACTCATTGGTGGAGGAAAGCAGATGAGAGAGGACCACAGATGGCCAAAGCACTGAAGGGGAGAGGCTGAGCCCAAGCCCAGAGCCCCAGTCACTGCCACACTACAGGTTCTATCACAGATCAAGGTTTCCTCCACACTCAGACATTCCTTTCCATGACGAATAAAAAAAAGTTCACCCTCACTTGGCAAACAGAAATTTTAGCCTTCAGTGAGAACTGAATCCATTTCAGGACAAACAACAAAGCTACCTAGAGGAGATGGGCTGGGCAGGCTCCAGGTTTCCTGCAGTCCCAGGACCAGCAGGAGCTGCCAGGGGTCCCAGCCCACACCCACCACCCAGCTGAACAGGTAAGAAAAAACCAGCCCTGGTCTCAGCAGCAGATCTTCTTCCCAAGGGCATACCCACATGCTGCTTTTACTGCAGGGAGCTGTGGGAGAAGGAAAGATGAACGTTAGAGGTCATGGAAAGCACAGCACAATCCTCCGTGACCTCTGACTGCATAAATTCCAGAGAAGTCCTCCCTCGCTCCCTTGCACTAATAAGCACAGTAGCAGGAAGAAGAGCTTGTGGCCACTGAAAGCTGTGTTCACAAGTCCCATGCGTGAAGGTTGACCCATTATAGGTCAGATCTCCATGCCCAGCACCAAAACAGCGATATCTCCTAAGAATTGCCAGAAGAGTCGACCCATAAGAATTCAGAGGGAAGTTAAATGTTGACAACTAGTCAAAAAATGTGCACTTTAGCTGCTTCTAATTGATCTGCTCCCCTGAGGCCAAGCTGGGTGGAGCACGTTGGGGAGAGGCGAGGCGGCTGAGTTCTTGGCACTTCACACAACAGCAGCTGCGGTATTAACATGGACTTACGTTGTAGGCCTTGACGATGAGCTCGATGATATTCTTGGAATCTTTGTGCAGAATCTCCACTGTTGTCCCAGGAATCAAGGCAGTGAAGTTCTTGTGGGGAAAAAAAAAGAAAGACAAAAAATGCTAAGATACAGAGAGGAAAGCAGAGGGTGAGGAGGGACCGACCCCATGCCAGGGACACCAGCCACACACCCTGTCCCATCGTCCAGTGGTCTACGTGGTACGGCTGGGCTCCCATGAACACAGAGCTTTGACAGCAAAGCATTTCTAATACGGCATGCTGGACACTAAAGCAAAGCTCACAGCCATGGGATGGGGACCAACAGACCCAAATCCGCTGCCGCAGGGGGCAAGACCCAGATGCTGTGCACTCGTGAGAGCCGGCACCGTGGGGACGGAGGTAGGGCTGCCTTGTCTTGCCTCCCAACCCACCAGCATCCCCGGGAGTAGGGGTGGAGAATGAGCTCAGCCCTCCTGCTCTCCACAGGCGAGCAGCAGCATCTCAACCATAGCAACGCCGGATGCTTGTTGTTTTTGCTCAAGCCTCGAGAGTCAGAGCAGAGGTTTCTGAAAACAACCCCGCCTGAAAGACCTCCCCTGTAGCCGCAGAGGAGTGAAACCCCGCAGGGCAGCTCCAGACACAGGCCAGCCTTTGGTGGCTTGGGTCACCTTTCCCTTTCGGAGGGGAGAGCAGGGATGGTGAGTGAGTTCGAATTGTATGTGGCATGCCAGGGGCCCCGGACTCCGTGATGGAAAAACACAGCTGGGCAGAAACGCCGCACACAATTAGGTAATGGGATTAAGTCACTGCAGAATGGGCTGAGCAGGTTTCTGCTCTCTTGCATGTTGCACGGTTGGCAGCCATCCGAACATCAAGATTAAGCCGGAGCCTATTTTAGGTCTTCACATGCCTGCTAACACATACATCTGTTTGCCCTAAGAAGCTTTAGCGGTTTTCGATGAAAGGACTAGAGGGGAGGGACGTCGGGCTGAGCCTCACCTGCCTGTCCCTGCCAGCCCCGCGTGCCTGAGGCTGCCTCCACTCCACAGTCACAGCAGGAGTATGCTCTCAAGAGGAATTCAAGTCTTCCAACCCCAGCCCAGGTGGCTCGGCAGCACTCACCTTGTAAAGGACGTAATGACTTTTTGTAACAGCAAAAATCAGGTGGATGTTGTTTTCAGTGAGTTTCTCCCCAAGAAGTGCCAGGGAAGGATAATCCTAGGAGCACAAAAAGGGTAAGACTGATGGGTAACACAGAAACAAACACTAATTTCATTGCTTTTCTTCCAACAGCAAAATTGTTCCAGAAACGTGGCATGTTTTGTGGTGCGATGAAGTCCCTGGCGCACAAGCACGATCCCAACCGAAACAGGAGAAATTCTGTCATCCTTTAAAAATTTCTGCTGTGTCCTTCACTATATGACTGACAACACCATTAGCTTCAGCAACACCTCAAATACCACATTTTTTTCCCTCTTTCTTCTTTCTTTCTTTCTCTTACTTTCTTTCTCTTTCTTTTCTTTCCTTCTTATTCTTTCCCTCTTTCTCTTGCCTTCTTTCTTTTTCTTTCTTTCTTTTCTTTCTCTCTTTCTGTTTTTCCCTTTCTTTCTTTTTCTTTCTTTCTCTCTTTCTTTCTTTCTGTTTTTCCCTCTCTCTCTTTCTTTCTTTCTGTTTTTCCCTCTTTCTTTCTCTCTTTCTTTCTCT